AAGTCTGGGTAATAAAGTGTACGGAAGATGTTTGCTTTGTGCATACGAACTCAGAGGACAATGTAGCAAAAAACTAGCATTTCTATGTGCTCAGGCAGAAGAACTGTTTTCAATAATTTATCACATGATGCAAATAAGTTTAGCTCGAAAAGAATGGCTCCGATTGGCTAATGCATCTGAACAAAACCGTAACTCGAAAATAGTCGTTACCGTATGAAACTTGAAGGATATTTGCAGGCTTCTGCGCCATCATGAATTGAGATGTCAAAACATGGAAATAGACGACGAAACGAAATTTCACTTTACTCAACTTAAATTATTATTGAAAATTTTCAAAAGACTAAGAATTGATTTTGTTCAACTAAAACTTTGTCAGGCCTCAACTTTCTCAGTCCTTAACAATCTTTTGCAAATGCTGAAGGATTTGTGAGATTTGTGGTTTGGGAACCGTCTGGACTTAAACAAGTTTCCAAATTTTAGCTGGTTACTGATACCTTAATCCTCGTAGCGGGAAGCGAAAATCTCTATTGTTGTCGAGCCTGCCTAGAAATAAATTGAATTTACTCACTTAAATATATATATTAGCAACATATGCACTCCCATTACGCTGACTCCAGTACGATATCTATTTTGAAGTTGAAAATTTGATTTTGGAACGTCAGTTGCAGGAAATTTTCCAGTAATTGACTCAATTGGAGGTATTTGACTTAAGAGCAGTCGGTACAAAAGTATCCAGAAATGTTATTTTAGAAAATCTTCACAGGAAAGTCGGCTACGAAGAGTTACTTAAATTCATTTTTTGATGATTATGATGAGTTGTTAGAATTAATTGTACGAAAATGATCTGGAAATGATCTGGAAGGTTAGAATTGACAGGTTCGGAAATAGTGCAAAAATGTATCAAACGAATAAACTTGAAAAGTTGATAGTTTGATCGGAAATTCTGCTGCACACACCGTATGGTCCGCATCTTTTTGTTCCGCGCTCTCTGTCTCTCTCGCTCTCTCTTAACTCTCTTAATAGTATAAAACTCTTGTTTTAGTTTTTCACCAAGTGAACGCATAACGATTTGACATTTTTTTTCGATCGTAAAATGTAAGGAAAATGTTTTTGAATCTTGGTGAAAGAAACTACGAAGTTTCCACCTTGTCTCGAAGGATAAGTGCGCAGCTGAATGGCTTGACATTTGCGTTATGCTTCAGCTCAAGTATTTATTTTCTTTTTTTCTCCGACTATATGCAAACTTACAAATGTCTCCAAAACATGGAACAAACTTTACTTTAGCAAGTGTCCCACACTGCTCGAAAGCGCCTTCACTACATTTCAAACCGACAAAGTCTATTCACGTAAATGCGTAAAAATCGATACGTTTTCTAATTGAAGGCGTATACTTTGACCGAAAAAGCTCTACTTGTTTATATAGGTTTTTTCTAAATTATCTATGGCAAATTATTTGTTAACTCTTGTTTTACTTTGTATATATTTTGGTAACATATCAGATATAATGCCTTTTGTCGCTGGTTGCATAAGAAAAACAGTGTCTCGACAAAGTTTAAATATCAATATTTCTTGTTGAAATTCACAAAATCATAACAACAAGTAGATGGAATACGATAACTTAGTTAAGAAATACACACATAGACCCACACACACAAACACAAGTCAAGTCAAAGCAAGTGAATTAAATTCAACCCTAAAGTCAAACAAATGAAAAATATATATCACGTGCCTTAAAGAATTACAAGAACAACAAATCCTACGAGCAAATATTTAATTGAAATCCAATTAATTGGTAAACAACTTAGACAATAATTTCGGATAACATTTCTGTTTACAAATATCGTTTAATACTATTTATACCCAACACCACTTGTGGTAAAGGATATATTAAGCTGGTGCGCGCGTGTGTAACACGCAGAAGGGCTAAAATGAGCCCAGCTCTTATTATATCGATCGTTTCAAAATCATAGTCGTATTTGATCTAAGCTTGTCTGTCCGTCTATTTGTCTGATGTCTGTCTACGTAAATTTGTGTTCAAGCTACAGATCGCAATTTTTGACATATTTTGATGAAATTTGCTACAACGACGTGTTTCGACCCAGGGACGAATGCTATTGAAAATGATTCGGATCCACCACTCTCCATATAACGTTTACTCCGAAAAGTCATTATATGGGAAAAAATTGTACTTTTCAAAATTTCCCGGCAAAAGTTGTTAAGCGGTTGATACGGAAACTTTGAATCGGCTGGGGAAATTTTTGAAGCCCCTCTCATATAATGAAGACTAAAGTTCACACGACAAAATGGTACAATTTAGAATGATTCATAAAGAAAATTAAATCACAATAGTAATTTAATTTATTTTTTGTATCCCACCCTAATAAGAGTATTCACGAAAGTTGATCGTTTGCAGAGCAGAAATTGCCTTTGATGTCCTGAATGTAGAAAAATTGACTCCTCTACGTCAAGATAACAGACAGAACATGTGTTTAAAGCAGTTAAAGGCTTAAGCTTTTGAAAGAGGTATAAAAAACACTTCGCTCTAGCAGTTATCCACATTATTTAGATCGTCCCGCAAAAACCAAAAGTACAATTCACATTTGCAGTGCGTACATACATACAATGAATGTTCACTGTACCGCAAGTGTTGTAGAATATAAAAATTGAATTTCTTTTATATATATGTATTCATGCAACCACGAACACACAAAGTGAGTGAATTTAAAAGAAAATTTTAATACGAATTTTTTAATATACCGCTTCAAGTCGCTCTTCCTATTGCTTTGTTGTTATGTATGCTGCAAACAGAAACCAAAGTTCTCATAAAGCTTTACAATTGAAGAGTTTTATGTTCTTCGTTGGTAGCTAGTTGTTAATACTAACACCTCTATGAAAAGTTTAAAAAAGATTCGATTAGAAGGCGCAAAGTCTTTTTTTAGTCTTTCCCCATCTTAGCGACTTATCTGAACAGTGTATGTTTTTTTTCGCTAAGAGATTTTATCCAAAGAGTTTCTCATACTTGCACACTTTTTTATGTTACGGTGCCAACTTTTTTGTTTCACTCGCTCAAGCATGTGCGAAAATCAGTTTTTTCGCAACTTTTCATTATTCTATTAAGAAATCTTTAATCTTATTCTCGTGGCGGTATGTGTGCTGAATTTAATATTTCAACCTTTCATTTTACAACAAGTAAGAAAATTATATTCGCCTATGGGCGAATCTTTGACACTCATCGCCTTTGTAAATATTATATTCAAATTTGTTTTTATTTCTTTAGATAAAAACGTGTGGAAACAAAAGAAAAATTAGTAAACTCGGCTGGGGCCGCAACTCATTCTGTCTTGTTTATCTTATGATCAACAAGCAGAAAACCTCAAAAAAGTGAATAAAAACGATCCACGTATAACTTTGCATAGCCTACGTAATGGAGTGTAAAGAATTGTGGAAAATTTCAGGCTGCTTGCGTGCATAAATTTCCAATGCTTCTACCAAATTTGAAGTCGATATCCACGTTTTTGCGATCCGGAGAGTGTCAACAACCTATACCCCGCAGATGGACGGACATGGCTTAATCAATTTACAATATCACGCTGTTTAAGAATTTATACACTTTATAAAACTTCTGAAGCTTTACTTTGGCTGTTAAGTGTTGGCTATAATAATAGTATTTGTATAATCAAGCATAAATACAGACTAAAACAAAAAATCAGAAAAAGTTAAATCTCTATAGTCTTGAGTGGACGCGTCTGATTTTTCTATTTTTGCAGAATGCAAGTGGAAATTTATGTCGTGTATCTGTTCTTGTTAATGAGTAACAAGAAAATATGCAGAAACCGAAGGTGCTCTTAGTTTTTCTCGCTAAAAGACACGACTACAGCGTGCGCGCAGACTTTTTCTCAGTTTATGTAGGCATGTCCTTTAACCGATTTAGCTCACTTTCAACACCAAGCTGCTTGCAAGAACTTTCAATGTTGCTAGCAAATGTGAAGCCGATAGTTTCGTTTCGTAGCTGAAGGAATGTCAGAAATTGCACAGATGGACAGACGGACATACTTAAATTGATTCAGAATGCGATGCTATTCGAAAATGTATATAAATTTTTTGACAAAGTTAAAGTCGTAAAAATATTTTCTTTGCTTGCGTTGACCCCAGACTGCCATGTACTCCGATCCGCCAAAAAGCGAACATTGTCTCCTCGCAAAAGCAATCTTTCTAAATTTAAATCTTTTCATTACGCTCTTCATCTATTTTGGCGAGGAATCCACATGTTTCTTCCTGTCAAGCATGAAATGCTTGTATATATAGAAATATTTATACGTTTTGTAGAGAAAATCGAAGAGATTTCCAAGTATTTCTGAAAATTGTTGGTTGGTTATGTTAAGTGACCTGTTGTACTCATCTGAGGCCGCTTAGGATAGAATAGACTTTTTATTTAAATGATGCCAATCACGGCAGGTCGACGGAAGAGCTTCCGCGGGACTGAAGTCATGGAAAGCTAATCTACTCATACACTGATATACATACGATGTTCTCTTCACATATGGCGCCATACGCACTGATGTTAAGTTGCTATAGATCTTTGTGTGCTTGGAAATAACAAAGTATTCGTTTTTGACTTCAATTATTATCACTTCATTGAACTTCTATCAGCCAAGGATTTTCTTTCGTACGATAATGATAACTTCTACTTAACGTACAACACGCTTTCGACATGTTCGGCATATGCGCGAAAAGCGAGCTCATTGGCAACGATATCTTTCGGGATTTAGTTAAGTAAAGTTAATGTGCTTATTGAGCCGCAATATTCACAGTCGTAGGTCACTGCGTATATATGTAAGCGTCGCGGAATGTACGTATTCTAATTATATAATTGAACAACTTATAAATACACTTTCGTCAACTGACCAAAACTTAAGGCAAATTTAATGTAATTTTAATGTTGTTTTTGATACGATTCGACGACAGCGATAGTAACAAGGATAAGAGGAATTCAAGCTCACCGGTTATCATGATGACGTTGTTGTAGCCAATTGATTATATCCAACAATTTCGAGCGACGCTCACGTTCACGTTCTGATTCTAAATTATCGAGATAATCATTGTATGAATTCACATTAGTATTTATTTGATCATTATTAGGATTAGGTGATTCGTTCTTGCTTTTTGTGCTACAGTGACTTGAGGACATTTTATAATGCAATTAATTTGATTTAGTTTAGTAATTGAAACCAAGTCGGCCCCATATAATTACTTTTATCCTTTTTATTATATAGATTAGCTTTGAATTCTTGATTTATTTGCATAACAAATATGAATATACATATATATAGACACTTTTCACCAAACACGCACAATTTCGCCTTCAACCGTACCATGGTAAAGATAAAGATATTTCAGGCAATAAGCTTATGTTAATCAAAATATTACGCGAATTTCAAAACATTTTATGGATAAACAAAAATTTATTTGCTTGCGTCTATTTTCCAAAGACAAGCACAAACAAATTCCGATTGAGTAGAAAAATATTTAGTTAAAAGAGAGCGAATGGCGACCTTCGTCAAGCACTACTAGCCTACGCCTTATTTTCAAAACTATTTGTGGATAAAATTGGAAATTATTAAGAGACCCCCACATCATGCTTATATGAAAAGCAACGACACATCGTCTCCCGTCACAGATGTGCTAACTTTTTTCGCCTTGTATTGCCCCCAAATACAATAACAACAATCCGTCGTTTGTCTAATCATACCAAACCCATACCAAAATACATACATTTGTACTGCTTCTGCTTTATTTGTTTTGCGTTTTTGTTCCTCTAATATAAATTTTCCATTGAATTGCTTTTTCAAAAATTTGTTAGCTATGTACCACGGGCCACTGAAAAAACAAAAAAAATTTCCCTATAACACATTTAAGACAAACCATCGCGCCTCTTAGTCTCTAATTATATTTAATTAGGCAGCGCATATGTGCGAAGGGAGAAGGAGAAGGTAGACGACAGTGGTCACTGTATGCGTTCATATGATGAAAAATTGACTGTAACCGGCATGTTTTCAATTAAATTTTAGTTTACTGCTCTACATTATGTCTACAATTTACGATTTATTACCTTCGAAGGAGGTAGTTAATGGCCTTTCTGACAAATAATGTTATTTTCAATTATTTAACCTTTGTTTTGTTTGCATTCGTACACGAATGTCAAGATTACGGTCATCATTTGTTGAACGTCAATGAATGCGAACAACAATAAAATGAAAAAAATAATATGAAACGATGACGCCGCTAATCTTACACTGCTAAAAGCATTTCTTTGATTGTTCATTTTTTTTTATTAAATTTTTTTTTTCTTTTTTTTTTTTTTGCTAACACGGAAAAGCAATTCACATGAATATATTTTTGCCCAAAATTTGAAGAGAATTAACTTTTATACATACACACAACACATATATTGGTATTATCATTATCGTTTTTAATTACTTTACAGCATTTCTTTTATAAGCATCGCGTCTGCTTACAGTTTACATATATACGTAATGCAAAAATGTAAAAAGATTTCTTAACTTTTTATAGGTGGATTTACTTCTATAGCGATCGAGAATCTGCCGCATACTCATTAAGTACGTTAAGTACGTGGTTTCTAATAGACTGCCATTATTTTCTTTAAAGTCTTCTTAGCATTTAATGCCACTCGAATAGAATGTGAGAAATAAATAAATATCCGGTAATGATGGTAATCTGAGCCAACATCATCGGGAAAACAATTCTATTAAAAAGATAAAATTAATTATTTCGCTGACTTCTCTGACTTCTCTGCAAGAGAAGAAAGGCAGAAAAACCAACCTCAAATAACGTGTAAATGAAATCTTATAGCCATGCTGCTCGGCAATACCAGCTGAAATAACATTAGCTGAAGCGCCATAGAGGGTCCCATTGCCTAGAGAAGTAAATGATTTAAAATATGAAGAAGTTCTATAGGTTATAGGTGAATTTTGCTTACCACCCAAGGCTGGGCCAAAGGCCAAAGACCAAACCAACGGTTCCAGCGGCAAGTCCAACGTTGATTTGGCCACCAATGATGTGACTAATTTCACCATCATGACTGTTACAGGTACACTATCTAAAATGGCTGATGCCAAGGCCGACATCCATAATATTATAAAAATAGACATAGCCAAGCGATTTCGTTTGTCCACGCATAATATTATGGACTCCGTAAGCTGGCCAATCCAGTCGAAAAGACCCAATCGTTCAACGCATTCCATCATCACGAACATCGCAGCGAAAAACAATAAAGTCGTCCACTCTATCCTATGCATTAATTCATCGATATCGTCGCGATTTAAAATTATCAGCAAAGCAATTATTCCCAATAACGCGACCCATCCCATAGGTAGAGTTCTTAACCGTGGCACTGATTGTATGAAAAAACAAACAATGACAAATACGAGCGCGCCGCTCGCTTGGATAAGCAGTGTCTTATTTTTTATTGGATACTAAAATAGAGGAGAGGAGAGGAAAAATATACCCTTTCATTTCCTTTGCGTTCCACGTGTTTTTCCAAGTACTTACTTTCAACTTCAAATCTTCCAAGGTGTGAACGTAAGCATCCGTAATCTCTAACTCGCGTAATTTTCGTTTTAATGCGTTCTTCAAAATGCGAACCTTTCGCTGGATGGTTTCGCGCACCGAGTCATCGTCCTTGGAAAATGAGGAAATCGAATTGGCTGCCTTGTACCAAACACGTATTTCACGACGCAGCTCCTTTATCTCCTTGGGTTCATTCAGGCGCAGTGAATTAATATCGCGGAAAATCAATCGCAAGTAAATGCAGCTTTGGATTGCAGTTAAAGCGACACCAGGTAAAGTATGGCCCACAAATTTCATAAACGTAATATCCTTGAAATCGTTTCGAAACGTAAAAAATGAATTAAAGATTTTGAAAAGTTAATGAAAGCGATGTCTAAATACATGTGAGGTCATGAAGTGGTTCGAATATATTATAATACTTATGGGATCTCCGATCGGTGTTAAACAACCGCCTATATTAGAGTGAACTATCACGCCCATTAACACTGGCACAGGATCAAGATTCAACACTTCGCACAATCTAATAACCGCCGGAGTCATTAGCAATACGGTGGTCATGTTATCCAAAAAGCTCGACACAAAGCAAGTTATAAAGCATAGACTGTAGATCATAGGCCACGTCTTGCCGCCCGAAATTTCAAAGGCTAAAACAGCTATGTAATCAAAGACTCCCGTCTCTGTTAGAACAGCCACGATGATCATCATGCAAAACAGCAAAGTTAACATTTCCATATTCATCCATTCTACGATTTCTTCCATATTGGGGCGATCATTGAAACAAGCCAACACCGCAATTGATAATATCGAACAGACGATCGCTATAAATGTTCGCTCAAATATCTGAGCGAAATGAAGCAATACTTACTATTGAATGAAATGGTTACACTCATATTAAAGCAATACATGCCTCCCAGATCAACAGAGCGTAGAATGTCATCAGAATTAAAGCAGCAAGCAAAGCGCCCGTTCTAATGTTCATAATTAAAGGATTGTAAATGAGTTTAATCGCCAAATCTGTATTCATGTTTGTAGAGATTTTTAGCCTAAATACGCATTCCTCCTCCGATAAGTTTTCCAACAATTCATCTGTCATTTTGTAGGTTTTATTTTTTACTAATACCGGTGCGTAGTCCAAGATCTCCTCATTTACCAGGGGCACAAACCAGACTTGCAAAACATCCTGTTCACGTTGTTAATAAGAAAAAAGGAAACGATAAGCTTCGAATTGAGTTGAAGACGGCATCTTGGCTTTTTGTTCGTGCAAGAGCTTTGAAAATTATTTATTTCGAAAAAGTGGCAATACGAACTCGTAGAGAAATAAATATCTACGCGCATCGTAAGAACATCAATTTACCTTAAAATTAGAAATGTTATTTATTTCACCAGAATGTGATATTTGTGGTTGTATTGTTAAATAATTTTCGGTGTCATTGACGTCATATACCGTTTCATTGAATGTACCAAAAATGTTTAATTTGAAATCGCCGGTCGGCTTCTGCCATAGCATGAAATCTGCAACATGTTTTTAAGAATTCAATTGTTTTTTGTTTTCTCATCATCGTCTCGAGTATGAATTATTTCTTACACTTATCTCGTTCATAAGGCACTTCAAGAGTCTTCTCCAGTAAATGCTTCTCCTCAACCAACATGAACACCGCAACAGCAAATATCCAAAATAGCAATAAACAAATTCTTTTTGTAATTTTTACATGCTGACGTTTTAGTTTCTCAATTTTTATTTCGCCATCTTTTAGTTGATTTAACGCACGATGGCAGAGCAATCCGTCATCTTGCTTACTTGATATATGATTTTGAGCAAAAGTTAATGTTCTCTTTAGAGCAATAATTAGTATGTTAGTTAGTTACCTTTTTTCATCCAGATCGATGTGATTTGTGTGCGAAATGTTTTTCATTGTTATAAATTGTGAGTCTGCCTGACTTTGCTCAAAATCTTCACAAGATTCCATAGCGTGGGATAAGGTGCATTCTACATTTGTGGATATGGAAGAACGAACCTAAGTTTATGAATTACAATAACAGAAGATTTTCTCAGTTCAGTTAGTCTTCTCAAGGAACAACAACAATTTCATATCGTTTCCTTTCAGACACGTCCGCATTTGTCGCCTAAAACTCATTAATTGATTTGATTGCTTTAACGATCCCTGAACTAAATCCATTAAACTAATCTGACTTGTATTCAAGACAAATTTATTCAAGACAACATTAGTGCCTGGACGAAGAATAATTCGATTTTTAGAGCCTCTGACTATCACTGACTATCACGCTCTACGTTGGTGTGTATCTGTACATGTCTATGCTTTGATTACCCACCACGAAATCGTTCATTTTCCATTCTAAATGAAGCCATGCTGGGATCGTGGCGAATTTGAGCTGGAAGGGTGCGCCACATCTGCAATGTTTGCTCACTAACTGGAACTGATGATGAATTAAAATTCTGCTGTACGTTTCTCTTTCGCAATTCGATGCCTTTTGCAGGACTACTATGTTTAAATTTGCGAAACTTATCCCGAAGGCCCATATTTTCTTATAACACGTCTCGATTCTCTGCAATGCAAACCAAATAGTACGCTATAAAGGTGCATGCATGTATGTTTAAAGATGCACAAAAAATTCTTGCGAAACTTTCACTATTTTCATTGCGTTTGTCGACGCATTAACGTTCGTCACTCTACTGAGCTGATTGCCGTACTATGGCTTTTGTTTGTATTATAAGTGTAACATGCGCGCGCCTTTTCATGTTTCAGATTCATTTAAGCATTTTTGTATATAAAAGCTCATCCAAGTTCTTAGAATGCCCCTTATTTCGTTTCTCATTAGAGAATTTGTGTTGCTTATACGATTTGAAATTTGTTTTGCTTATCGTTCAACAATCATGTTGCCTACCATTCTTTCCACGCATGCGTTATGCCTGAATATAAGAATTTATAAACATCCAAGTCTTTCAAGGAGTTGTTTAGTTTTGTTTAAATTTTCCGCTCGTACACGCTATCGGTAAGTTTGTGTCTGAAAGAATCGTCAAATGTAGCCTAACAATATGATGGGACAATAATCAACAGGTATGAATGCATTACAAGTACTGTGTCCATGCGTCAGTCTGATATTCGATTGTCATTAGACATTTATGCGTATTGTTATCAACTCAACAATCAAATTACCTTTAAGCCAAATTAATGAAAAAAAAAAAATGTTATTTATACTGTAACGTACATCTTTACGTCTTTTAAGAATTTTACGCTATTTATTCAGCTTCTTTTTAAAATCAGTTCGTACCGTTGGATTTTGATTTGTAGGTTTTATTTTCAAAATTAAGAACTGGACTCTCTTGATTCAATTGTTGACTCTTTTTCAAGCAAGTTACAACTACCAAAACTCCTCGCGACATTTTTAATCGCTTAACCTGCTAAATTTCTGTTAATTTTTGTCAAGGCATAAGGCAGCTAAACCGTCATAATTGTCACTTGGAATTTTTCTTTCTTTGGAATATGATTTCTTGGAAATGCGACTAATTTCTCTAAAATGCTATATAATAACATATAGGATTTTCGTAACTAAACGTTTATTAAATAAGGGGATGAGACGGAGCGGTTTTTCGTTAAAATTCAAACCCTTTTTTCTTATACGTTAAACAATCTGTTAAAGGGGATGATCATATATGTCCTACTTGGATTGATATTCTATTGCGAACATCTCCGATTCGTACGCAAAAAAAAACCGAATCAAGTGATTTTCATGAAATGCAGTGAAGAGAATATAGGACAATACGCACCTTAGATGATGATCTCACGAAAGTAAACTTTCTTCCATATTTAGTAACATTTGTATATTTGCACTTAGCCATATAAAAATAAAACAAATAGGAACATTATAGTCGGACAATGCAGGCTATTAAATACCCTACACAAAATTGTCTAACACAATTTGTCTTTTGAATATAGAGCACAAAAATAATGCCATGTTTTCGATGTAAAAGCGCGTTAACCTAGTGTTGTACAAGTTTAATACTTATCCAGGCCGGGATCCAAAAATAGGCATTGATGGTCCAGATCTTGTAGAATTTATTTTTGCATGCAATTGTTATAATATTGTGAGTCAATTTCCATCACCACATATTAAAATTTAGATTTTTCTGCTTTACAAAGGAACAATTTTCGTGAACTTCTTAATCCAAAAAATAAGCCGAGATGGTCCAAATTTGTTATAGTTAATTTTTTCATGTTAAATTACTATTATGATATAATTTTCGTCACAAAGGATTGAAAGTTACACCTTTTTGAGGTATGAACTTCAGTTTTCATTATATGAGACGGGGTTCAGGAATTGCCACAGACGGTCCAAGGATTTCGTACCGTACAACCTAGAATACCGAAATTCTACTAGTTAGGACAAGTCGACAGACAAGCTTAGATCAAATCAGATTATGATTCTGAATCGATCGATATAAGAAAAGGTAGGTCCATCTTAAGCCCCTCTGTTGGTTACATACGACTGCACCAATTTAGTATACTCTATACCATAAATGATGTAGGGTATAGTAATATTTACATTTACACTTCTGCGATAAATACGTGTGACTGGTCCATGAACACATCTCCCTTGTGTTCCCTTAATTTTTTTTTACCTGATCTTGTTGTGATACTTATTTGAAAGCAGAACAATTTGAATAGAAGTGGAATATTGTAAGGAATGACCTTCGCTTCCCTGTTCCTATCTCTCATTTAACAATCTTCGAGACCTTGTTTGCTGACATAACAAAAACAGATCAGGGCTGAGTTGCCCCAACCCTGTTGGCTTAATTCCATTTAGTATTGCACCGGCATTCAAGAAAAAAAATCGAATGCATAAAATGCAGAACTAACTGTGCGTAAGAACCTTTACGTCAGCTCGATTTTCCACTATTTCCAAATTCGAACAAAATTTTTTTGCAATTTTAGTTTGAAACCTAAAAACCCCTTCTGTTGCGTACACCTTGCTTGATACCCACACGTAAATCGAAGCAGTCTAAGAGATTGCTAAAGAGGAGACGTAGACGTGAGAGTTTAATTGCCATTCCTCATAAAATTGCACTTCTATTCAAACCATTGTCTCTTTAAATAAAATCAAATAATTATGATAACAAACGTGGATAAGAAAATTAAAAGAACACAAATCTTTTTTAATTGATATCAATATCGGCAAATACTCCTTTAAAGAACTTTCACCAGATGTTATACACGACAACAAAGCCCATAACCGCAAGTCAAACATCTTTTCCATTTCAAAACAAAAAAGAAGAATACCTGGGAAGAAACCTGAACAGAATAGAACGCTTTCATCCAATTTCTCCTATTACGGTCTATAACAAGATAATTATTCCAATGATTATAAGTTATCTAATTAACTTTATCAACAATAAGTAAATAATCTTGGATTTTTTCTTTGCTTAGCAAAGAAATAAATGATCGAAGATGCGTCTGAGTTAAACAAGAGTCTGTCACAAAAAGGTTTATATCTCTAGATATATGCAAATGATGAAATATGAGTGTGTGGTCTATTGAAGCTGGGTCATACTCTTCGTACGCTAACTACGCCGATTCATGTCAGCTTGCGGATCCTTAACTTTCTGTTTAAATGTATTCTAATGGAATCTACTACGTCTGGGATCAATGGAGGTCTGTCGCCAGATAACTTTTTCAACCGAATTCCTTTTATGAACTTCAGAACATTGAAGATCAAAAGGCTACGTTTTTGAGTTTCAGGTGACGTTATGCCCCCTTCTTTTTTTTTCCTCCAATCGATTCTATCTTCAACCTATTGGAAAAGCGAAGTTTGAAAGTATTCAGAAAGTCAAACCATTTACTTTGACCAAGAGTCGAAAGAAGATAATCAATTTGTATGCAAACAGTATTGACACATCGTTCAAACCAAATCAATGCGATTGTATGGAAGAAATATAAATGCAACAATTTATGATAGTATGCTCCCATAAGGCCCTTTTATTTTATGAAACTTTAGTTCGGGTCAAAATAGAATCCGCTTTGCTGTAGATGGTATTTTGATCACAATTTATGCAAGTGTGGTTAGTAGTAATATTGTAGATGGTAAGTGTGGTTAGTAGTCATATTGTAGATGATATTTTGATCATAATTTATGCAAGTGTGATTAGTAGTCATTTTGTAAATGGTATTTTGATCATAATTTATGCAAAAATTGGTGAGTTTTTTTTGTGAACAATGTAAAAGAGAAAAACCGCTAACGGTTATCAGAGAGAAATGATACAAATCAAAGCATTTTACAACTGTGTTTGACAAATTTAAAAATTACCAAAAAAATGGCAATAGTTATTAATAAAAAAGTAAAATTATAAAAATTAAAATAAAATTGGATCATTATGAATATCTCACCAAAACATATCCAAACCTTTACATTTGTTGAATAATTGTTCAAGTATTTGTATAAAAATTAGGCCACATACGAGAATAAGCTAAAAATGTAAGAATAAGCGTATAAAAATTTGGCCACATACGAGAATAAGCGTATATATTCTCAATAATTCGAAAAATTTGAAAATAAGCGTCCAATTTGTTTAAGTGCAAACTTTACCTTTATTGGAAAGAGAATATGTATGTTCCTTTCATTGCTTTATATGTTCCTTTGTATGCTACTTATAGTTGAAATATATCATGATATATTTGGGAACGAAATAAATTTGTGACCGTTAATCCTTAAATAATAAGAATCTTTTGCTAAGCTAGCTGTAACTTATTTAAAAAAAGTGAGGTTTGAACGAAATGATGATTACACATATAGAAGCAAAACAAATATGTAGCTATCCAATTAATAGCAGGCATTTTGCTCAAAGGTTTACATCATGTTTATAAAGAAATGTTTCTCTAGGAAAAGATTGATAAGCATATATTTCTACAAGCTATTTTTATAAACCGAGATATGTTTCGACATGAAAAATAATAAAAGGAAAAAGTTCTAATACAATAGGTTTTTTTCTCCCCTTTTTTTTTATTATTTTATTTTTATAAATATACCTGGATTACCACAGGCTTGTACTTGGACAATGAGGTAAAACAGGAACGGAACATGACTGAGTTATATATTTCTAAGTTAAAGATGGAAAATTATCATTATTATTAGATAAACGCTGTGGAGTCCCGCGCAGTTGGCCGTTAAATTGCTTCAGCTTTAATGTGCAGAGAAACGAGTTCAGTTATTTATCCTTTCTATCCTCTTCATCATGCTGTTGCGTGTTTTCAATGTTTGTAAACCAATAAGTTAATGAATAAAACACGAGAGAGGAAGGGTATCACATTGGTGTAGAGGAAAATACGAATATCACAGAGATGATTTTTGCGATAACCCTTTCAAAATTTTTGCTTTGGCAGTAACATTAATACAAAGTTGGCCGCAAAAATCAATATAGCAAGAAAGAGAATAAAAAGTAAAGTACGCCAAATATGTCGCGCTCGTGCTCTTATGTATCTTAAGAAAATTACTTTGTATTCTGCGTTTTTCTACACAAACACGAACATAAAAAGAAATAGAATATAGTGAAACTTTATATCCACCTATCGCCCGCAAGAAACTTAGACGATAATGGCATTCAGCAAACAATTTTATTTTTTATGTAACTCTTTAATACCAATATGATTTTTTGGGTATGCGTTCTTCTTTAATGCCCATTTCTTCCATAATATCCATTTCGAATGTACATAGCTTTGGTTCAAATGTTATTTCTTCTACCACGGACGCTATAAATCAAAAAGCGAGAATAATTGAGTTTATAAAAAATACATTTGACAGAACCGACATATTATAATTACCTGTAGTATCCTTTGCTCTCTCAATGTAAGCCGCTTTGGCGCGATAATCATGAGTTTGATTATTAGACTCTGGTATCGGGATTAAACGCCCGGTGCCTATGGTTATAAGAAAACTGAGGATATTAATATTCGCATTAATAACGTAAAGACGATATGAGTGTAATACATTTCTTTTGTTGTTCTTCTTCTTTTTGTTTACTTCCTTAAATTAGCAGATTTTTTACTTTACTTTACTTTGACTGATTTTGAAGGTTTTTAGTAGATTAACCGTTTTAACAGAAAATGTACATTTTTTTAAGAGATTAATCGTGTTCACAGAAAATAGAGGGTTTTCTTTAGCAGACTGATCGTTTTCACAGAAAATGGGCGGTTTTCTTTAACAGATTAGTCGTTTTTTCCACACCGGACTTGGCTTGACAAAGGATATCCATGCCGAAAACAGCCTACGCTATGCATTCACTGCAATCATCCAACATATACGTACGTGTGGAGACTCGAACCATTTCGCCTTCCTCCGTGTACCTCCATTCCCATTCACAACCTTGCAGATCGGATGGATCGATCAAACGTATATCTTTGGTGACCTAAAAAAGAAAATGTGAGTTATATTCGCAAACACGTTATGTGTATCCTTTACATCTAGGGGAGCTTCAGACTTGATTAGAATGCCTGGAAAACCTTTCTCTGCTGCTACAGTACGATAATGCCAATTTAATCCTTCGCAAATAACCCAATTACGTTCGTTTATTACTTGGGTTATGAAGCCTTGTTTGCCTTTATCTTTACCAACTAACACTTCAACTCGATCTCCTCGAAAATAGCCCCATTCCTCTAAAATTCAGTTAAATAATAATTGGAGTACTTACTACACAGACACACTCAAAGAAACAAACTTACCAGTTGGAGTCACGAAAACCTTTTTGCGGATCGTGCCCGGCATATTTTGTTGACGGAATTGAGCTGCGCAAAGAAACAATGACGCGGTTAAAAATCTTAATACACAGAAGATATCTGAATATGAAATGCCGCTATGTTTTCTTACCAGTCCAGGGACGATTTGTGGTATATCGGAATTTTTTACGTTCTACTGTACGTGGTAAGTAATTACGTGCACGAGGGGTTTCAAAGTAAACCTAGATTTCAATTTTAAAAAAATATTTTGTAGTTTTCTTAATTCATTTACTCACTTGTCTCTTGCTTCTTTCCACATATTCTTTAGGAAAGTTAGAGAAATCCTTGAGCTTTGATCTTAGGCATTGAACTAAACGCATATTAATTGAAATCTAAAACTTATTTAACAAATAATAAAACTTTTTTTTGGTATGTTAAGATGGACTGAGCCAATAAGAAATAATCACTATTTTTGCCTTATTTATGGAATAATAGAACAGCTGCGTTCGTGCACAGCGTGGTTCAAGTGTGCATAAATGTCATAAAGTCAAGGCAGATTGTTGGCTATATGATATTTTTTTTAGTTATAAATATCATGAAAATTAATAATTGTGAATAAAATAGAACACTCTCGTTTTTGAAGTTTTACAAATAATCAAAAACCAATAATAATATTTCCAGCTCAACTACTTCGCATTTTGCAATCAAACTATTGAGTTGCAAAACCGCAATTGTTGATAGTCTCAAAATTTAGTATTACTAAATTTTTATAGATTCTTACAAATTGTTTATTATAAACATTAATAAATATAATAGCTTCCCTTTCACAGATCGCGAAACTCTTTTCCATAAAGTTATAAAAAGCATGCTACAAAATCTTACGCTTGAGAGATAATGCTTGAATATGAATAAATACATACACACAACTCCCCTTTTACACGATTTGATATAACACTCTTCTCCAATTACGATAGACACATTTTTAAACGAATTTTTCGTTCTATCGCTAATCAAAAAAAAAAACGAACTTCTCTTAATTCCAATTTTGCCAGTATCTCACAGAGCCTCATGTATACAGCCACAAAATGCAATAGAAGGAATACTGTGTGGGGGAAATAATGGGTCGGTTTATGTGTGAGTGGAATGTGTTACTTACAGTTGGGAGATTGATTTTTATTCCTATTTTAAATTTTTGCCCGTTGTACTTATGGGCTGACTTTTCCCTGTATACTAATTTTAATTTTTTGTTCGTAATGAAAGTGACTTGCTTTTATTCCATAAATATGTAATATGGATTTCGTTATTATCTTTTTTGCACGGTTTTTTTGAAAAATATTTGCAGTTTTTTCATCTTTTAAAGTTGCGGAACATATCCCCAAAATTACCATAAGTTACAAATATTCACGATTTTTTTACACGACAGGGGAGTAATTATGTAAGTAGGTAGCAATGAAGTAGGCAATAAGCGCGAAGAGTATCTAATCAGGTTGGCAAATTTGCTAGCGATGATCGCCAAATGCGCTCTCTCGCGACAATAAAATTGCTGGAAACAAATTTGCCTTAGTATCGAGTATAAGTCAAACATATCGCAAATCTCTTTCTATTTCAGAGTTGCATTCGAAAAAAATCAGAAACAAAATTAATTCTTAATTTTGAAATTTTAAAAACTTAAAAAAAAAAAAATGTATTCGATCGTAATCGAATTCTTTATACCCATCACCGTTATTCTAAAACAGACAGAAATAGTAAAAGGACTAAATTTTCATGCTTTATAATACGGTGCGAATGCGGTTAATGATTCCTATTTTCAAAATAAAAGTTTTTGTCGTAGAAGCTTGTGGACATTGTAGGCGTGTTCTTTGAATAGTGATTACACACCACAAATACTACAGAGCAGCTATAAAGATTTTTCTTTTTTCTTTTGGTTTTATTGCAATTATGTTCGTTACGTGATGATCTAGGATCAATGTAAATCGAAAATTACCGGAAGGATTACACAGTAAAGAAATTCACTAGGAGAATGTTTCCCACAGACGATATAAAGAGAGACAGATTGACCGAAGGCATGTTGATGAGAAATTTTATATTAAAGATCTTTCAATTGATTTATACAATTTATTCAATTTATTTATTTATGGCCTAAGATAAATTGGTAAATAATTATTATTAAAGACTAAGAGACAAAGAGGCAGATAAAAGCGAAAAGATAGGCGGAAAATAAACGCTCAGGCGTTGGCTTATAATGATATAATTGATGTTAAATTAGCACGAGAGCAATTAATTATTTTCTGAGATTATTTTCTCTTCATTTCTCTATAAAAAGTAAAATTTTCTTTTGAATAATGAGGAATGTGCAGAATAGTTTTCTGCATTTCGCCATTACATTACTTTTTTCCTGTAAAATTTTTCATATTGGCGGCACTTGTTGTTTTAGCCTTTGTTTTCTTACAATCCACGGTAAGAACAAAAAACATACATAACTTATTGCTATTCATGCAGGTTCCTCACATTCTGCACATTCCTCATCAAAAAAATTGATTAATCATACAATGTACGCGGGACTTCAGATTTTCGCGAAATTTCTGATATAGCCAAAAGAAAAATTTATGTCTGAACTGTTTATGACAATGTATTTTCTCTGTTTTTAACTGAACTAAACTTGAAAAAATGAAACTGAAGATATCTTCTGTGTCTTATTGTGTCTCTTATTCGTTTATTTATTTATATTTTATATTTAATTACGTCGTTATTTTTATTTATTGTTGCAATTTCTACTTTCATGAATTTTTTTTAATTTGTAATGTTGAAAATCATATTCTGGCTGAAAATGAATTATTTGTAGCGAAAATGTGCTCTAAATACACTAAATAAAACACAAGTTAGTTTTTACTCAAACTTTTAGTTTATCTTTTCGATTATCTAATAATTTTAGAATTCGCACAACTTATCTATTGCAAATGTGAAATTTCACACAAAGCCGTTGGCTAGTTTCATACAAAATCCTTTGCGTGATTTGTAAAAAATTCACCATCTGTTGAGGATGGAAAGATCATAGAGTTGCTTTCAAAAATATCAACAATGGTGGAAATAAAACTCACCACATTTCGCATGAATTTCGTTTAATTTCTTGATTGAAACATCCTGAATAATTATCTTAACGATCGTACTACATCAACTTGAATAACAATATTTATATTTGAAAATTTTATTTGCCAAAAAAATGTTTAAAATAAAAAATTTAATAATGTATGATATTATAATGTATTTAAATAACCACTTTTTTTGGTTTTTTTACTACTTTACGATAGTTCATATATATAGTTCATATTGGCGGCATATATATAGACACAACACAAGTGTTGCCGCCATACTTGTATATACTTGTACTTGTATTTACTTGCACTTGTAAATACGTGATTAGCGATAGTCAAGTGTCTCCTAACAAGGCGATAAATCGGCGATGATCGCCTGTTTATATGATTACCCGCATCATTATCAAAGAGCATATATATGTGAAATCAAATAATTAAAACAAACAAAAGAAATTTTATGACGTCATCAGAGATAACGTTGCAAATTATTCAATATATTTTAAACAAACAATGTGACAAATTGAAAATAAATCGCCTTTGTTTTGTAAAAAGAAGAGGTGAGAATAATGTCTTAAGAAATATAGAATTGTCTAAACAGCTTTTAAATTTGAAATAAATGGTTTTTGTTTATTGTTTCAGCTTTTTCTTCTTGTTAAAGTTAAAAAATTTTTCGGTAGTCACTTTACTTAGGATTTAAGTACAATGACGCGGTAATCCGTTATTCGATTCATTTCTCTTCATTTATTAATTAATTTCTCATCTTTTTTTCATTGATTTCTCATTTATCAATTTATAAACAACCATTTGGTTGCGCCCCGGTTTTTATCAACTTATAAACGAATTTCACCTCAAACAACACGAATCAGCTGTCCATCATATGAAGTCTTCACTGCAAATGTGTTTTTATTTAGTTTTCTGCGTAAAGTGTAAATTTATTTTTATTGTTTATCACAATTGCACTTCACACGTTTCATTATCTTCATAACAAGTACATTTCCTAGTAGAAAATAGAAACCATGAAGCTGTTTCAAATAGTCGAAAAAGAGCACTGATCAATTATCTACCAAGAATAAAGGTGAGAAGTTTTGTAAATTTGAAGAAATAGTTTTACATTTTAACTTTCTTTTTGTTACTTTGCTTTAGACTTAGTCATCGATTATAAAGCGTTCCAGCAACAGTTGAAAATGTCGTACGGTTTAAATATTGATAGAATTAAAAAACATGCCAAGTACTTTATGAGATTTTTAGATGTTTTACCGGCGAACTTAGCTTCGCATGATTGCACAAGGTAAGTGTCGATACTATTAAAGTTATTCACTCAATATTTACACTCAAATTATATTTGGGATATTAGAGGGACGATTGTTTTCTTTGCTGTTTGCGGTTTAGATGTCCTGAATTCTTTAGATTTAATAACAGAAGCTAGACGTAAGCACATTATAGATTGGATTTATGGCAATCTCGTTACGCCTCGCCCGGAACATCGTTGTTGCTCTGGTTTCCAGGTAAGTCTTCATTTAAGCAAGTGAGAGAGCTTCTTCCATGCATAAAAAAAGTTATTACATTTTAGTTGAAGTCATCTAAAAAAACATATTTATGACATGAAATGACGTGATACCTAAGTTTGCCAGTACACATAAGTACAATATCTTGACAGATATTTAAATGTTATTTTTCCTTCACTCTTATCAGAATATTAGCAATTATTTACTTTCGTTGTTAAAACACTTTTTATGCCCTCCACGTCTATTAAAGTCACGTTCATAAAAAAAGAATGGGACAAGAATAAAGCAGTCGCAAATAATATGTTTAATTGTGTGATTTTGTTCACAGTTTTGTATTGAAGGAGAAAAATTATTTATTAAAACGAGTACACTAACCATGTAGCGCATGTTTTAAAAAAAAAACATTGTAGGACCAAAATTTATTTTTCTAATCTAAGTCTATTATATCACATCATCAAACATAATAGTCTTGTTTTTTTTAGCATAAATATGGAAGCTTTTTTGTGGAGAATATGAAGTTTCTTAAGAGGCGCGGTAATATTTCAGTGCTTTTGGATTTTTGTTGATAACAAATCTGAGATAATGCATAGGTTTACCTTTTCTTTCACACACTTACTTTTCGCAGCCGGTAGCCTTGTTTTTACCATCTATTCTACTTCGGATTTATATTTCGATTTTAACATCCAGTCTACTTTACATGCGTAGAACCAAGGCGATCACATAACCTGATACCGTTATGAACGTTCAGAGAGTGTTATAGAAAGTTGTAAAGAAGATAGTATGAATTCCTTTTTTCAGGAGCTATGCTCTTAAGGGGTGTTGTGGCTCTTCTAAGCAATGTAACTTGTAGTTTTTTTATTTTTAATGAGGTTGACTGCTATCACGTTTTGTAATGCAAAACACTTTTTACAGATATGGATATGGGCTTTTGGCTTTCAAATTGACATTTTAACGGCCACTTGATAGTTGACTTGAGAAATTGAGAATTTTTAGCTTCAGCTTTACATTTTACTCCAGCTAATAGGAATTAAAAGTAGACATAATCTTATCCTAGCGGATTGGCAATTTTTGCTTTGCTCATTTATTCATAGCTTAATAAATTTTACCCCTTGACAATTCAATAGCAAATGGGATTTCGCCGTTATCCAGAAGACATATGTATATATTTATGCAATAATTGGTATTCAATTTAAATCATTAAATAAAAATTACATGAATTTGCAATAGGGTGGACGTTTTGTCATGATAAAGAACGACAATGAAGAACTTTTGGAAAATGTTCGTTGTTTCCAATGGGGTCATTTAGCAATGACTTATACGAGTATTGGCGTTTTAATCACTTTAGGTGACGATTTATCACGATTGGATCGTAAAATAATCGTTGATGGTGAGTTGTACAAAAAAAAAAAAGATTATCAAAGTGATTGTAAAACCGAAGATATATTCTGAAATTGTTTCAAGGGGTAGCAGCTGTGCAAAGAAGTGATGGGAGCTTTAGTGCCTGCATCGATGGCAGCGAACACGATATGCGGTTTGTATTTTGTGCAGCAGCCATTTGTCATATGCTAGATTACTGGGGTGATGTAAATAAGGAGAAAATGTATCAATTTATTATGAATAGCATTGTAAGTTTTGCCAAAATCTAAATAGAGATTTAATTTTCTGAATCAGCAAATTTTTTTGTAGCGATATGATAATGGTTTTAGCCAACACACATATGGAGAAGGGCATGGTGGAACAACTTACTGCGCTTTAGCAGCCCTCGAATTGAGTGGCCAGTTGAACCGTATAAGTGCTGCTGCTCTTGAGGATATAAAACGTTGGTGTATCTTTAGGCAAGTGAATGGCTTTCAAGGTCGACCCAATAAGCCCGCTGATACATGCTACTCGTTTTGGATAGGGGCTGCTTTACAAATATTAAACGCTTTTCATCTTACCGATTTTGATTCTAACCGTTCCTACGTGTTGGAAACGCAAGACAATGTGGTTGGCGGCTTCGCTAAATGGCCTCAGTCGACCACTGATCCATTCCATACGTACTTGGGCATATGTGGCTTAACGTTTACCGAGAAAGGAGGAGAATCCCTTCTCGCAGAAATTATGCCCAGCTTAAATATATCGAAACGTGCCTACGAGAATTTAAAAATACTTCATTCGAAATGGAGTTTTCAAAATGTCGAGGATGGTTATCAAGGGACATTTAGGAATCTGGCTAAAGAGTTGACCGAAACAAAAATATCTGTGGAAGAAGATGAGCTAGTCACCTCACCTCTAATAAGAGCTCAATGATTAATTGTTGCATTTTGAATACGAAGTTACTAAATATTAAAGGCAAACAATGTTTGTGTAGCGCTTTTATTATTTTATTTATTAAAAGTGATTCTTTTGCTAACAATTTTCTGATTTTAGACTAAGTTTCAATAATCTAAGGTGTACTTCGCATTACAATGTTTACAATGTTTTACCTCTTACCACACAAAAATTTTAGCTATATATATATACAAATTGACATTAAAACACATATACATAAATACATAAATATATTTGGCTTCAACATTAAGTTAGAATTAAAATTTCTATACTTGCAGGAACAAATGATTAGGAGGGTTCAACGGATATATATAAGGTAGCAACATGCTGCTACTTCGAGGTCTGTCGATATGAACATGGCCCCTCAAGCGTGCTAACGAATGCTCTGTTATTAGGTCACAACGCTGCACCATCAACGACTTCAATTTTGTACAATTGGTAGTTAACGCTCTGCAAAGGAAATGATTATTGCTTGCATTCATTTCGTTTAAGAGTGATCATAAATAGACTAGAAATTTTTTCTTAATTTACTTTGTTGCATGACAGCGCAAAAAAACCATTAAACGACTAAATCTATCCACAACACTTCTGTGAGGTACTCTAAATCTTAAGCAAATCTTTAAATCTTAAGCAAATTGACTTTAGTCGAGAGCAGGTACACATATCTAACTCGACTGGATTGAAAGTTCGTTTAACTTACTTTTAGGATGTATGCCTCTCAGAAGAAGAAACTGAAACAGAAGTAGTTGAGTTTCTCATATATTTTCAAAGGATGATCTTTGCAACGAAGAGGGAAAGTATTCAAATATTCTATTTCGAAGCATTAATTATTTGAAGTGCAAGCTAAAATAATACGCAAAGCCGATTTTCGAGAAGAGGTTGCGAAGAGATAACTTACAAACTGAAAATAGATGTTTAGGCGGCTACAGCTCCTCATTTAATAAATTAAGAAATCACTAGGGTAAAAATCGTTAATGTTCAAATTTGGTTCCGATCGATTTGTTTTATCGATGTAGATATGTTTTCGTAAAGGACCTAATGATCGTTCGGTAACTCGAGGACAACATAGCACTAAAAGGGTTCGTAAACGCGTACAACGCGTTGAAATTGCGCTGCAATAAAAAAAGAAAAAAAAGAAAAACAAAAATTAAGCGAAAGGAAACAACAGTAACGAAACTTAAAAAGAGAACTGTTTATATATGCATAGGAAACAGGTCCACTAATTTTAATTTAATTGGTAAGGAAATTGAGATGTATAATATAAAAGAAACATCAGCTTTATAATCCACGAAATTTTATTGTTGGAAAGAAGATACAGATTTTTTTTTTTGACCAGCTACTTAGGCCGTAGGTACCACATATGTGCCAGCACGATGGTGGTCAGGATAAGTTAAAGGTAGAGAGCAGCGGAAAGAGGGAGTAGTGCTTGTGTACGTTTAACTTAAACGTGAAAACAGGCGCAGTGAGAAAGACAACTGCTGTGTGGTGTGAATTGGTGCGTAATGCGAGAATTTCGGCGATTTTTAAAATGTTTTGAGCTTTGACACTTTGAGGAAAACCAGTACGGAGCATAGATTCCATATTTCGTTCAACACAAATTGCTGGTTTAGAGTAAAAGCATTGTTTATCTTTGAACATAACAATTTCTTACTCTAAACAAGTGCACTAGAATGGTCGTCAATCAATTGATAATTGGAGCGAATTTACGCCAATGCCCAAACAAACACAAACCCTAAACGCCCCCAACAGGATTCGAAAAACCCCAGAGACCTCCATTTTATAACCAGTATCAATTACTCCAAACTCAATGCCTATAATAACAGTGGCTGCTGCTCTTTGCAATTTCTTCAGTCATTGAAAGAATACTGTAATATACTAGCAAACACAACGATTTTACAAGCGCAAGCTTACCAAAAAAGTATTCCATAGCCGAAGGTAAATCAAACCGTAAACACCTCAAATTTCTGTAAGTAAGCATTCTTTACTTGATTATGGGCAGTACAACAGTAACTGACATGCATATATTTAGGAAAGATGGATGTAAAATGTTTTAGATCACAATCGCAATAACTTTTTAAGACCGAAATAATATGAGGAGTGTGGTAAGGAGCATGAAAACCAATCAATCCTGATAAATTGGGACATTCTATAACGGAACTACTGATGTCGAGAACTCTATGGATCCTCGCAACCACATTGCACGTATATAGGCTACTGCCGCTATATCAACCAGAATAGTGTTAGTTAGTTATAAAGATCATCAATTTTATTGAAGTCCCAAATTCGTATATAATTACTCACGAATTTTAAAGTTCATTTACAGTCTTGTAAGGAATAACAAATTTCGAATCATATTACGACGTTAAGACTAAAAGTTAATTTAAGTAGGACATAGGCAGTCCTAACCCTAATGGAAGGAGATCACACAACAGACGAATATTCAAGCATAGGCTAAGTTCATATATAGCCTTTTTGCAACGTAAGAGTTGTCAAGCTTCCTAGAAACCTCTATGCGCGGATTCAAACGTAATCTTTGGTGATTTCATCACCGAACATTATTGACATATGAAATGAGTATGGAGGCACCTGAGGAACACCTGACGTCACGGGGACTTCGTGGGAATTGATCCATTTTAATAAGTGCAAATGGAAGCCAGGGGCCTGGAACTGAAGATTAACAATTTATGGTTAACTGCGGTTAACAATTGCTTTACGAAAACCGGTGTGTACGACATCATAGGTCATATTTTGAAATGATCAAATTGGCAATCGAAAACGAGTTTATGATTTGGCATGGACAATTATCAGTTAATTTGGAATCAGCGTGTTTCTGTTGTATCTCATTCACTTGGTCTTATATGCTACGTGCACAAATATAACATACTTCTCTCACTTACATAATTCCGTAATCTGAAATGGCCGTGCAGCCAACGAGATTGATGTGTTCTAATAAGCGGCAACAGTTGGAGATCATTACCAGTACTTGATCGGTGATAGCCGTATTAGCTAGCGATAAGATGGTCAGTTTATTCAATTTTCGAAAAAATATTAATAAACAACGTTCGCCGATGGCAGGACAATGAGATATATCAATCTCTTCTAAATTATTTTGATGCAAAGTTAAAGCATCTATTGCCCCAGCAGTTAGCCATTGACATTTAGATAATTTTAGGACCCTTAGATTTTTACAATCGACAATGATCGGTTGAAGAGCCATTGGCGAAATATATGGGCACTCATTCAAGTTTACCACTTTCAGTAACCGTTTGTTTTCAGCTAGTATTGGTAGTAGCAATTCGTCTTTCAACCAATGGCAACGGGCCAAATGCAAATTTTCCAAATGTTTACAGCAAGTATTTAGCACAGAAAAAGCGAGATCTATTGTATTGCTGTTATTGCCTGACAAATTGACTTCTTTACGTCTCTCTAAAGCGGCTTCCGCTAGCCGTTTCGCGCTTCGCGAGCAAGTGCGAAATGTGAATAGCTCCTTAAGGGTTAGAAGCGATAAAACCTTCGGTATTAATATGTCTTCCCAACAAAGATCAAAAATTGTAACAACCGAACCGAGTTCGCTTGTCGGATTTTCGTTGCCTGTATCCGTTGGCAAAGCCATCTCCATTAGATGCAATTCTTCAGCTTCTACGTTACTCATTGCAATAAAAATCTAAGCGAAATGTGTATTCGCAGACGCAAAAGATATCGAGCAAATTTAACGCGCTATTTGTATGTTAAGATGTTACTGTTTAATTTCAAACTCTCTAAACCATTTCTTGTATAGTTTTTAAGGTGTATTTTTAAGGTATTTCTTAATTTTTAAAAATTTTCTTTTCTAAAGTGCAACCGTCGAATGATGAAAACTTTTATATTAAATAAATATGCAAGTTTGTCAAGATAGCAATAAATTTTTGGTACATATGAAACGAAATTGAAAAGAAATGTATTTCTGAAACCCACAATGTTTCGTCTTTATAGCTTTTGAGCAAAATTTTAAAACAAACAAATCTGTTAAATTTTGCAATGGAAATTTTCAATTGGTCGCGGAATATGTAAGCATTTAGTGAATTTCATAATAACCACACTAAAAGGCAGCGTTGAAAATAAAGCAATTCAGAAAAATATTCATTTTTTCAGAAATTTTGCGTCATCATAACCAGCTACTAGCAGCTATATTCAGATGTTATGTGTTCGACGTTCGTTTCAAGTTATACGATTCTTCTTTGGTTTGCTATATTCACGTAGGCTTTTTGTTGTAGTCCTTTTACTTTTGTTTCAATTTAATATCAAGGACTTTTTAATTCCATGTTTATTTCCTAGAGTCTTATGTGAGTCGATGTAAATTATTCTTTCATATTTGTGTTTAGTGAAAATGTCAAATTGTACGAATGAGGAAATCGCTGAAAAAAAGCGGATTGCGCTAGAGAAATTGAAAGCTAAAAAAACAGGATTAGCACAGAACAAGATTCCACTTTTGGCGAGAAATTTCGATAATCGGCAATTGATTGCCGATATTAACCAAAACAGTGCAGAGCGAGTAGGAGAAAGTACTCACCATGGTCAAGAAAAGGCTGACAATAGGGCTTCCTACTTCATTAGTGCTCTGAAAAGTAGCCAATTAATGGTTAAGCGACAACACCAGCAGCATGTAGTCAGAGATAACGCACATCCTTATAAGGGTAATAAAAGCAGGGACGCTCTAAAAGAACAAAATGCTGTTGCCATTAACTGTAATGTGTACATGATAAGCTCGGAAAGGTTCGAGGTGCAGCCATCTAGCTATCATTCCAAGTTGATAGAAGTGTTTAAGTCAATAAAATCAAGATCTTATGGTAAAATATTCTAATATATGCAATAAGGAGAAAATTCATTACGTTTATGTTATGAATTTGTTAGATGCAGTGACAAAAAATTGGAATTTCGCCTTAAACGATTACAGATTATTTCAAGAGCGTACTTTACCTCTAAAACCAGACGTAGTTGTTGGTAGCATACCTAAGGCAGTGTTTGATCTTTGTCTATCGTCAACAGGAAAAGCAGATAGATCTTGCTTAATTTCCATTGAAACCAGTTTATGTGAAAAACTTATGCCGTTTCAGCAGGACGGAGTTTGGTAAGCGTAGAAACAAGTTTCTACGAACGAAATGAATTTAAAATTAATTTAAGTTAAGCTTATTTCAGCTTTGCTATAAGCCAACACGGAAGAGCAATGATTTGCGATGAAATGGGATTAGGCAAGACATATCAAGCCATTGCTATCGCCAGCTTCTATCAAGAAGACTGGCCTTTGCTTATCTGTACAACTGCTTCAACGCGTGATTCTTGGGCTACCCATGTAAGGGAACTTTTACCGTCTCTCCCTGTACACTACATACAGATTTTAAGTTCCAGTCAACAATATATAAATGAGGTCAAAGTTCTTATAACTAGTTATGGTATGATGGAACGTCATGTATCTCAGATTATGGAACGTAAATTTGGTTTCTTGATTTTTGATGAGTCACAAAACCTAAAAAATTCAAAAGCTAAATGTACTGTAGTGGCTGATCGCTTATCTCAACAAGCCAGAAGGGTAATTCTACTCTCAGGTACTCCTGCTTTATCGCGACCAGTGGAATTGTATAGTCAATTGCAAATCATCAGACGCAACTTTATGAGCTTTACTGATTTTAGTAAATAATTTTAATTAAAAAAATTATTGTTTAGGTTGAATTACGTATTAAAATTTTTCAGCTGTCCGTTACTGTGATGGTAAACAAACTAGCTTTGGATGGAATGCTGCAGGTCAATCCAATCTTAAAGAACTAAATGTGATTTTAAAATTGAAGTTCATGATTCGTAGAACAAAAGCGGAAGTCATGAAAGATATGTCGGCGAAAATTAGGTAAGATCGTGATATGGATGCAGTCTGTCCTCGAAAAAACATTGTGTAAACACTTTTTGCAACGCAGAGAAGTGGTTACGTTAGACCCGGCTATTGTTTGCTCTTCTGACGAAGTTAGAGAATCATTGAACGCGGAAGCTCGAAATTTGCAAACTTGTAATAGGGAAATTAGGAGCAAAGTGTTATTAAAATTTTACGCTCAAACTGCCGAAGTCAAAAAAAGAGCTGTTTGGTACGAAATTATTTACCTAAGCTTACAGGATTTATTTTCATAACTTATTATATTATTTTAGTTCTTACCTCAAAAAAATCGTGAAAGAACAGAAAAAATTTATCGTATTTGCTCATCATCGGGTGATGTTGGATGCCATTTCTGATAGCTTCAATGCGTTGCATGTGATGCACATACGTATAGACGGCAGTACCTCTCAACAAGACAGAGGATGCTACGTCGATCAATTTCAAAAAAATATTGACTGTCAAGTGGCTGTATTGTCATTAGGTTCTTGCAATTCTGGCATAACGCTAACAGCTGCAGATTTGATAATATTTGCTGAGCTCACTTGGAATCCTACAGTGGGTATAGCGATAAATTTTGCGATACAATTTTAATCTTGCGATCAATTTTGTCATAGATTTTGGCCCAAGCGGAGAGTCGAGCTCATCGCATAGGTCAACCAAAGCCGGTTATATGTCGCTATTTAATTGCTAAACAAACCGCAGATGATCACATTTGGAATCTATTAAAGACTAAGCAAGATACCCTGAAAAAGGCCGGCATATTCTGTGAAAATCTTCAAGATGCCACAAATGCAATGGCATCAACAAAGGTTCGTATGTTTGCATGCACATTATTCAGTTCGAATTGAAGTTTCTGTTTATTGATTGTGCAACAGATCGAGACGACTCTGCATCGTCTATCATCAGAAGTGTTGGATCCCAATGTTGAGTCATCTGCGCTGAATGAGGTGAATGAAACGCCACATGTAAGCAAAAATAGCAACGCTATTGAGGAATTCTATCAAGATGATGATGAAGCCTTTCTAAACATATCGTGCTAACATTTTCAAAGCTATGTTGTATTAGATTATTTGTAAATAAAATGAAATTCTATAAATAGCTATCCATTCGCATAAAATATATTTTTCCACGTACACTTAATCACATTTGAATATTGTGCGTTTGTATTGTGCAGTTTTCGACATTTCGAAAGAATCTTCGTATTATTTGCAAACGCTTAAAATAAGCCAAGCCCTACGTCCTCTCGTCTAATGCTGTTATTTACCTGCAACAAGCGCACATAATCTAAAGCAGTGGAAGTGGTATTGGCAGTCTGTTGGCAGTCATAGTCGGGCTTTCAAGTATTTTACCCACAACAGGTATAAATGTCGTCTGGATGGGTTTTCTTAGAAGAAGAAGTTTGTAGATTAATGCAGTCATTATCCTTCCAAGCGCTAAGCCGTAACTTAAGGACTAAAACAAGAAAACGCCTATCAAATCCCCATTCTTACACATATCAAATGAACCCTTTTTTTACGGACATATTTGTTTTTCGAAAAAACTAATGAATTATGACATTCAGGCGACCTCTGCCCGATTTCACGAATTAAAAAGTTTCTGCGGAACACTGAGCATTTTTCGCCAAACAACGTTAGCTTTTATAATGGGAAAAAGATACGGAAGCGAAACATGCAAATTATTGTGACATCATTTTTTTCCCCTATTCATATCCTTAAGTTCCTTTCATTGTGAAACCATCAAATTTACACCCCGTAGGATGCGTGTGGTTACATAAAGTAAAAAAAAGGATTAATTAAGTAGTAATCGTGAGTTATGGTTAATGCTAATGCCTGAACCAGGAAGAAAGTAACAAGTTTTATGGGAAGGATTCATAATTAATTGCGCTTCAATCATGCAATGTCATGACACTCGAAATTTTCGTAAAGTACTTAGTTTCTAAGAAAAAAAATACTTTAGAAGCTAAAATTTGTGCTTTTTTTGTAAATTTACTTAGATTTCTTCTCGGTTTCCTTAATTTCTTCGAAAAACTCTATATATATCTATTCTAGCGATACAATTCGATATTGTTGATGTTTTCTTAGATGCATGGCGAACCACAAAGGCACATGCGCTGGCATTCCGGCACAAAAAGGTCCCAAACTACCTGATATTAAACGCAAAGGTTCAAATGATTGCTATGAAGCTACACGAAAACAAGTTGAAGATGTGAAGCGAATAATTTGACTCATAAATGCCGCATAGCGCCTGAATATGTTCGTCATTTCTGTTTAGCTTCTCTAAGCTCCATATATTCTCAGTTGATTCATGTATAGCAGACTTTAATAAGTTTTACCAATGTTTGCATACCAATGGTCTGCTGAAAGTAGTTATGCAATGTTGTGTTTGTTTAAAGAATATGGCCAACCATTGTCTTAACAGATGATGGCGAAGTTGCCGTTGCATGGGACTAAGTAAGTGGAGAAATTAGAATTAGGTTATCTAGATTAGTATTCAGATTCATCGTTTGAAAAATACATGTAAGCTTAGCTTTGTCACCTAAAGTTGGATATCGTCTTGAAAAGAAAGAAGCTTCGACTATACGTATGAATTCTAAATCCATTAGCATAAATATCTTTTTAATGATACCACGCATAACCAACAACTTATAATACCTTTTCAATTTTTTTCGTAATCTGAAGCTATTAGACGTACGTGTTTGCTTGTCATTCGACTTTGTCTGCTACATTTTTTAATATTTTCTTCTCCCCTTGGAAACCAAACTATTTTAAATCAATAAGAGAAACTTTTCCTCCCATTTTAATAAATAGATTTCTTAAGAAATTTTCACGAATTCTTCTTTAACAAAAAGAAAATTCAATGGAAGACACCGAAGAAATATCGGAGGAATCCGAAGTAGAGCCTGAATTTGTATCCAGTGTTCCACCGGACATAATACAGCTAAAGTAAATGTCATAAATAGAGAACATCGGAAAAAAAAATGCATTAATTGCTACCAAACACATCCGCCAAACGCAAAAGCGCATAAAATCTCCGACTTCCGTTGATACTTTCTTAAGGAAACATTATATTTGTCTAATGTTTTCACTTGAGCTTGGCGAATACACCGACTGCGGATGTTCTCTAAATATCTTTTATATTAGCAATGAATGTGGCTTTCATCTTGCCTAAGCACAATTGCTTCTTTCTTTTTTAGTCACTCCTTCGGCTATGACTGTAAACGAATCTACAATATGGTTTTAATCGACGACGATACCTTGGTTTTCGCCTCGGGTACTTATATACACTACTTTAGTGTAAGTAAAAGAACAGTCACATTTCGGAAATCAGTTTTTGGCACTGGTATCGGATTCATAACGGTATTCGTTTTTTAAACTAAATCAATATGTATTGAATTTGAATTTTGTGTTTAGAAAAATTATCATCCCGACTTTCAAGGTCTTTTAACCATAGGGGAGAACGGCCCGCAAGCCACAGTTTTTGTTTACGAGTATCCATCTCATAACATTCGCGTTAAAATGGAAAAAGCCGCTAAACAACAGTTCACTTGCGGTTCTTATAACCATTCGGGCGAGTTGTTTGCTTCGCAAGCCGGTTATCCCGATTTTATGCTGACAATTTGGAGATGGGAAGCAGCAGAAATTATATTACGTTCCAAGGCCTTTCAGAATGATGTTTTACATGTACATTTCTCCAAATTTAATCCAATTTTACTCGTTTCTTGTGGTCTTAGTCATATAAAATTCTGGAAAATGGCCAACACCTTCACCGGCTTAAAATTGAAAGGAGACCTTGGTCGATTCGGCAAAACGGATTTTAGTGACATATACGCCATTTATATGCTGGCTGATGAAAATGTTATATCCGGTTGTGAGTGGGGTAACATGTTATTATGGGAAGCGGGTTTAATAAAATTTGAAATAACACGCAAGGGACGTAAGCCATGCCATACAAAACCTATCGTGAGAATAACTATGGAAGGTGGTGAAGTGACTACAGTGGGTATGGATGGTTATGTGCGTGTCTGGTTTTGGGAAACAATTGATACGGCCGATCCTCCAGATGAAGATCGATTTGTAGAAATTGAACCAATATATGAGTTTTACGTAGGAGAATGCGAGAACAGGGCCGTGCAAAAAATCAAATTATTCGACAATGAAGATTTTGGGTATTACATGATGGTATGTATGCAAGAATCAATTCACCTCACGGTCATTTAGCTAAAATCAAAGTATACTTCCTGGAATGGTATTCGTCTTTATCATAGGACGGTTTAGGTGGCATTTGGTATTGTGAACTCAATCCTAGAGAAATACAGAACCCGTCTTATAAAGTATATTCTTGCCATGGTGGCAAAATTGTTGCTGCCCAAGTTAGCTCTATCTTACCTCTTCTTGTTACTTTAGGTGAAGATGGTAAGATTTCCGTGTATGATTTTGAAACTAAAATATTGCTATTGCAAAAGGAGTTTAATAAAGCGGGCACTGATCTCATATGGTTCAATGGACGAATATCGTTATCGGGTATGGACTTGGTTGCAAGTTTTGAAGATGGTGTTATACGTCAAATATATATCGACTTGAAAGCCCAGTCGGCGCCCGCTATACATCTAACGCGAGCTATTAAGGCTCATACGGCAGCGGTCACGAAAATGACTGTAAATCCTCGAAATTCGTTGCTGGTAACGGGAGCGGCCGATCGTACAATATTCGTTTACAATTTGAGTGAAAGGCATGAAAGATTAGACTGTGTTCATTTACATCCTATGGGCTTCGTGCAATTTGATGCCATACCGAATTGTTTCAATTGGAAGGATGAAAAGCTCATCATTCTCATTGGTTGTAAAACGGGCGAGGTATACGAATATCGGCTACCCCCGAAAATAAGCGAAGAGCAAACATTTCTCAGTTACAATATAACTGACAAAAAAGAAATCAAAGCAACGAAGTTCACGTCTGTTAAAAGTGTTATACGTCGCGATTTGAAGAGAGCAGCTATTAAAAAGCGGAAGGACAAAAAGCGGAAACGTAAATTAGATAGAATTGAGAAATTGAAAAAAGCAAATCCAGGTTTACAAATTGATATGGAGCAAGCATTAGGTATAATATATTACTATTCATAAGTCGAATGAGATCATTTCATACAAACTATAACTTTTATTAGCCGATTCCGAGCCAGACGAGGAAGAAGAGCCACTCCATATACCTGCCGTTCCTAATCCAATTTTATGGTTACGTTATACGGACCGCAACACAATATGGGTCTCTATGGGCGGATATGATGCCGGCTACATTTATGAATTGCAACCAGGTATTAAAGAGCCAATACGTTCTACCATTATAAAGGACGGCGACGATTGCGAAATTCATTCGTACCTTGATGTGTAGGTTTCCGGAAATTAACATTTAAATATATAAATCAAATATTATGAGTTAAAAATTGCTTGCAGAGGTGAGATTCTGGTATTGGGTTTAGTCAATGGCAAACTTCGCATTAATCAAATCAATCCAACCGATTTTACCGATATGCGAAATTATCTTTGTTTTAACATGCATGATCCCTTAAACGGCACTATCCCGTCGATACTAAGTAGTTGCGATGGGAAAAGTTTGATTTCAGTCGGTTATGATGGCAATATTTTCATTTATTCATGGTTTGGGCCGGAAATACGACAAATTCCGCGAAGAAGTAACGCTGTTACAACGCCATTGATAATTCCATCTGCCACAGACATTATCGATCCGAATTATCCATCGCTAGAACAGGAGAAAATCTATGCTGAGCAGAAACGACAAGAGGAAGCGGCCGCAGCGCATGAACGTAAAATATTAGCGGAAATTGCCAGACTCCAAGAAAAATTCGACAGGCTGATGATGGAGAATAAGAGCATTAAAGAGGATTTACGAATTGAGCACAAATACATGCTACTGGATGATCGAATTACAAAACAAATACAGGATGAATTACAATTCGAATTGGATGATGTACGAGACGATCTAGCCTATGACTTGGAAGTGGCTGAGGTCGGCAAGCAAAAACTTTATGATCATTTTATAAAGAATTTGGATCATATACCAATTAAAATAACAAGTTTCGGGTGAGTATTAACTGCTCTGGTTCCTGAAAAATTACAATTTGCATCAGTGTGTCTCTATGTTGTCGTGCATTTTCTAGACTTACTGAAAGCGGTTTCAGTTTATATAGTTTTACTTTCAATTATTGACTGCATATATAAACTTTTCTCGTATTGAACAATCTTTTATATACAGTTCTAGTGCTCAAATCTACACTTTTCGTATCGAACGTTTGGATGAGAATTTCGAAGCAATTAAAACGCATGTTGAGGAACTTTTGCATTTGGAAGCATTAAAACGACGGTAAGTAACGTTTCTTGACGTTGTAACGGAGCTTGTATATAGAGAGTCAAAAAACAAAAAGAAGAAAACAAAGCGTAACATAATTTAAACGTAATTTCAATTAATTGTAAATACACGCTGCCGATGACGAAGAGAGAAAACACCACGAGATGTGAAAAAACCAGATTCGTAAGACAAATATAAATATTAAGCAAACGCACGAGTACTTTTTCAATTGCTCTAATTTCCAAATGTAAAACATGAACCTTCCCTGTCCCCCGAACCATTCCCACGAAATACATCACGCACAGCTTGCAAATATAAATTGAAGCTAATTTACTCTCCTAAAATCGAAATACTTTTACCAGGGCTTGTTTCGAATAAGTCGGGTTTTTTTCTTTTTCGATATAAACTAAAGAGAGTCTAGCTTCTAGAGATGAACAAAGCCGGGTTTTTTTAAACTTTTCTTTTTTTTTAAATTAAAGTTTAGTATTGCTTGGGAATGCAAAAAAAAAAAAAAAAGAAAACTTCAAACAGCGAGAAATTTGGATAAATGCAATACAAAAGAGATGCGAAATTTACATTCCTTTCGCTATTAGTTACTATTATTGGTTTATGTAAACAAACGTTTATCTAAAACTTGTATAAATTTCTACGTGTACGCATGGGTCGCCCATAAACGTTTTTAACTTACTTGGAAATTAAAGCAACAACTTACACCAATCTATACTTAACACATAGCGCTCGACGTCTGCCTGCATGTATATGAATATATGTTTTCAATTATTTACCAGCGAGGACAAGTTTGAGGCTCCAGAAGAGAAAGGTGAAGAAGTGCTTGAACTACCTGAGGAAACTTTTTTCTTCGGTCGTGATCCGAATACAATAGTGCCACGCTTCAGCAGAAAAATGGTCCGCCTTTTACTTAGATATCGTTCACGCCAATTGTATGAGGTACAACGTCTGCATAATTGGGAAAAAATGGAAAAAAGAAAACCTGATCCCAATAAGAATCATCCAGACGATGATCGAAAGATTGAAGAGGCACAAAGAACCCTGGGTGATTACAAATTGAAAACCGGCGCACAATATGAACCGCAATCGTTCGAAACTTTGGCCTATAAATATCATGAGGTTTTAATGCTACGCGAACAACTTCACGCAATCCTTTCCAATTTTAATAAAAGAGTCTTCGAACTGCGGGATATTAAAAAGACCATAAATGACTTTATTGAAGAAAAACGTTGGCGATTAAAGACCATTCATGAAAATATACCGGAGGCAGACCGAAAACACTTAATGGAAATAAATCCAATAAATATGGACGAAGAATATCCAGAGATCAATTTAATAGAGAAATATTTCCCTGGCTGTGGTATAGAAATCAACGATATATTATACCTTGAGAAGAAAGTTGAAGATTTACTTCCGAAGCGATCAGTAAGCAAAATTAGAAAGTTTAAAAATAAAGAAGATGAAATTCTTGAATTGGATCAGATGTCTGTCTACAGGCTGGAAGACATTAAGTCTTTTCCGAGTCATTCTCATCTTGTAGAGGAATTCAAGCAATTGCCTAGTCCACCAGATCCGGCCTTTTATTTGAGTAATGAACGAGAGCCTTCGCCCTGGTTAATAGAGAAACGTTATCGCTGGCTAATAAGTTTATTAAACGAACAAGACGACATTCTAAGCGTTGTAAATCAAAGCGTTCAAAGATTTGATAATCTTTTGACGGAATTAAACGATGATCGACTCCAAGTAAAATATGAGACTGATTTCATGACTAGTTATCTAACAGCTATGAACCAAGAGCTATATATAATGAGAGACAGTGAACAGATAGAAAATCAATTATTAAGTAATGCCGAATACGCTTTGATGACACGTAACCAAGCTCAGACCTCTATTAACGCTTTGACACGGCAAATTGACGAATTGCGTAAAAGCTGCGATCGCATTAATGACCAAATCGCTGTAATTCAAACAAAATTTATGACTAACACTAAAGGTCATAAGTTTCTCGACTTTTTGCGTCGTATTTTTCGCAAAAAATGGCGTCCACCTAAGCCACCGAAAAATGAAGACGGTAAACTATACAGAATTTAAACGCACATTGCTCTGGAAGCATTATATACCCTCGTTTTTCTATGTTCTATATGCCTCTTTAGAATCGTCCGAGTCGAGCTCGGAGGATGAATCGTCCAGCGAAGGGGAAGAAGACACCAAAAGTATTGACTCCACCGATATGACGGCCATACGTTTGGATGAAACCCATTGTCCACCCGGATTGGAGAGATCCATGTATGAGCTAGCGTTTAAGTTACGCGCAGATAGACACGAATTGGAAAAAAATTTAAATGATGCCCTCAAGCAGATAGATTCTAAACGTGACGAAGTTAAGGAAGCGCAAAAGAACGTAAAATATCATACAGATGTTTATAATAAAGAGAAGGAAACGTTGCTGGCGTTCAGGGTAAGTGCATTTTTTCGCAACATTAATTCGCAAAGAAAAGAATATAAGTGCGAATGCAAAAATGCAAAATGAAGAGACAGTAGCGTACAATAGTACTGCGCCAGAAGTGAATCAATATTGAAATATATGAATAATTCACGTTTTGCCTGCCTCGGTAAATTAAAATCCAGTGTAACCTATAAAAATTTTTTTTTTAGCGAAAACGCCAACAAGAGCTTAACAAAATTTACGTGTCCATCTTTTTACAAATGCATCAAATACAACATTTTCGTGAAGGCGAAGATTTCCGTGACTTAAGTAAGGCGGTTCTTTTCGACTCCAAAAGGCTTATGGATTTAAAGGGGCGCGTAGGAACACTTAAAAATGAAGAAATAGAAACTAAACGCTTGCACCGCATAAATATCGTACATTTAAGACGTATGAACACGGATATTTCATTTATGCGATTAGAAATTACCCGATTGGAGAGTATAATCAAAGAAGAAATGATGAAAAAATTTGGATTGATCCTAAATTTGGATGAACTCGAAGAAGAAGTCCTTAGAAAATATGTTTTCGAGTTGGAGACAACCGCAGAGGAGGACATACGTCTAATTGAACAAGAAATGAAGAAGAGACGGGTAAGTTGTTATTTTTAATGCAACGAAATGAAGGAACGATACGTTCTGATCAAGTCCATGATTCGTATATCGGATAATGATAAATAAAAGGATACATTCAGTTACTGTACTCGTCATTCCCGATATAAGAATGTAAATATTTTTGCACTTTACAGGAAGAGTTGGCTTTAGCGCAAGAAGAACTTATAAAAGAAACGCGAGCAAATTGCGAAAAGGTCAACAAGTTGTCGGTGTTGACTGAGGAGAAAAATTCTCTTGAAAGAATTTTAATGCAGCAGCAGAAATACTACAGAAAATGGTTGCAACCGCCTAATCTTAGTTGGGATCGTGACATAGAAAAGCTTACTGCCATTGATAAAGAGCAAAAGGAACTTATAACGGTAATAATCAGTTAAGACAATTGCTTCTTAAAAGTGATATGTAATGTAATTGTTGTTTCTTTATGAATAAAGCATTTAGAACGAGAAATAGCGACTTTACGGGTTAAAGCTAAACCTTTGCAAATTCATGATGGTACAGAGGAAATGGCAGTGGAGAAGGTAACAATGCCAAGCGATACGGTTGGTGTGTGCCCAGAAATGTTTCGTCCTGAAACGTTCTTTGTACGTATGGTGGCTGATGACTTCGCTATGGACCGATGCCAGAATATAGTGCAAAAACTATTCATGCACAGATTTGGAAAATCAGCTGGTCCAGACAATGTCCGACGTTACGCTTACAAAGTAACTCGTTATTTAGGCCAAGCGGCCTACTCGTTCGAAGGCGAACTTACTGATAACATTATGGAATGCATTGTGGAAAATATTCGAACACTGATCCCTAAAAAATATATTGTACTTGTAGCTCACGAAGACTTGAAAAAAATGTTCACAGAAATCTTGAGTGTTTTCGACTATGAACGATCCGAAGTTAACACAGAAGATGTAGTCTGCACTGTCTATGAGAATGCGAAAGAAACATTAAAAGCAGCCACTGGAGTTCTAAACACGGCTCAGTACGTCTTAGTTCACATGGTAAAAGAACTTATCGAAATTCTTCCTATTGAAGAATTACAAGCAGAAACCACCGTTAATGCCATTGTAGATAATTTAGAAAAGCAGCCATACTTCGACGGACGCTGCATAAACGTAGAAGGCTTGGTCAGCAAAGTGATCCAATTTGCTCAAGAAAATCTCTTGGACTCTGTAACTTCGATACCAATACGTGTTTTGGCGCAAAATGTACAAACCGAATATATGAAACGACGTCCGTGCAAATATATTAATACGCAATGTGCGGTAAGCTCGGTACACGGAATAAAAGTAAAAAAGAAATCGAAGTAATATAAGCAGACGACAATTGCTCTATTTTGTAACTTAATTTTTTTTTAGTAATAAAACAATTTATAATTGATATGTTGCTTGCAAATGTTGTTGATTGCAGTTCATTTTTAATTAGGGGAATGCCCCAAAAAACACTTTTATGCTCATCACCGAAAGATGAGGGTGTATCCATTTTGTTCAACCGACTGCAACACCCCATAAAGATTATACATCTTTGTTTAGCATCAAATTCTGAATCGATTTAATCATGTCCGTCTGCCCGTCTACATAATGCTTCCTTTACACATGCTCCTGGCCGCAAAAATGATGCCATCGACTTCAAATTTGGCAGAAACATTGGAAGTTCTCGCACACAAGTTCGTATTGAAAAGATGCCAAATCAGTCGAAGCACACGCTTACATTACCCCATAAACAGAGAACCCCTCAGTCTTTCAGAGGGAATAAAAAATTTGGTGTCTAGTCTTTGCTTTAAATTATTTATAGCAGATGCATTTACGAAAATTTTAACGTATGTTCTATCAGCAATGCTGTGGCATCTGTGTACAAATATGAAAAAATCAGCCACGCCTGCCCAATATTATAGCGTATGCTAAGGACAACTTTGGGCGAGTGAAGGCGCCTGGCAGCATTTGGTTCAATCCTCAATCCACGTTATAACAGTTTTAGTTAAAAGTATTCATACACTATGTTCTCGTGCAAAATGCATTGGATGCGGGAAAAACTGAGGAGCTCACGTTTTTAATTTAATTTAATTTACGTTGTCGCAAGAATCTTAACAGAATTACAATGTCGCTTGCCACGTATTGTAGCTGAGGAGTAATTGCAAACACAAATCTATACAAATAATTATTATTGATTTTGTGTCATTCTGTATGGTGTACCATTATTATTAAATGTTTTTGTCAGCTTCGATCGATGAATATTATTAACAAATCACTTTTGTTAATTAAAAAGTTAAATGTTTAAAAGGTTCTACTATTTCTTCACGATCTTTATCTGGTTTAATTACTCATGACTCGTCCACAACCCGGACAAAGTGTGGTAATCGTAATCATTGCCGATAATTTTATCCAAATTTTAGCCTTACGAAAATTCGAAAACCCTAGCTATGACTTCTGCTACTTAATATCTAACAGAGGAAAGGTTCAAGCACATTACATAGTTTTCAAACACCGTACTGGAATCTCAAGTGAAAGAACTCGTCTGTGCCTAATATTCAATGCTAATGACAACAATTATTGTACATACTTTGTAAGTTTATGTATATACTTATGTTTAAGCCTGTACATCTATAGTTCACAGGTTTAAATTGGTCTAAGAAGATTTTAACTTAATTAAATTAGGAATTCTTGTATATATATATATATATATATATATATATATATATATATAAAGTATATATATAAAGTATATGAAATCGTGAGAGAAAGAGTTATTTTGCTTTGTCTTACTTTTCAACCTTGTATCAAAAATAACTAAGACCACTACTGCCGAGTAAGGCCGGGCCATATATCCTTCATCAATTCGCCTAGTACAATTATTCGCTCATTTTGGTAATAATACACCAAAAATTCCGCATTATTTTCATGTAAAGGCATGCTTTTCGTGAAAGCCCTCATATTTGAGAACGCCCAAAACATCATATGACTTTACCCAAATTTATTAATCTTAATTTACTTCCTATAAATTTCATTATTTTTCAGTTTCCATCGTAAAACAATAGAAATTATACTTGCCACGCCTTCCATGATAGGAGTTTACAAAATTGCTACAGTCGACCCAAATTCCTTGTACCAATTTAAAATTTCAAGATAGTATTACATAGTGAGTTTTATCGAAAAATTTTGATAATTGCAATGTTTTCTCATAAAACGATCTTTCAAACTAAGGCATTATTTGGGAAGTGACCGAGAAAGGAGATCGATCCGGAACATTTTCACTAGCGTTAATCCTTTGCTCAAAGCAATTCAGCGTATCAAAATTTATTAAAATATCTTGAAAATTACGACTTGTAGGTTGAACACACGTTTACTTGGACAGACCTCAGGCTTAGATCAATTCAAAGTCATTTTCGACGAAATAGAAGGTGAATGTATCTTAAACCCTTCTGGGTGTGTCATACACCCGCACAAACTTAATATACCTTGAACTACAAGTGGTATATAGTAAAATTAATTTTATATACTATTTAGAATTCGATATAGCGCTTAATAACTCTTACAGCTTTTTAAACAATATAACGATTGGAACATTGAAACCTTTTTGTAAAAGAACTATTACGATTGAGGCCTGTTAGCAAAGAAGAAAGTTAGACCTTTCATAACAAAAGTAAATACTTGGACCTATTTATAATGACTGGGATCTACTTGTAACGAGTAACTAAAAGTCAGTAGAGGAAAAGAGATCGGTCTAGAATTCGATACAAGTGGTTTTGTAACTATCTATTTTTATGTAAACATCTGTATTTACAATTTTTTTGGGTGTAAACTAATAGCACTAAATAAAATCATACCATGTTAAGTCATATCATCTGGCAGTACTGTTTTTAACGCCTCTGGTTTATTATCGCATCTGTGTTTTTCCATCGAATTATTTTTGCCCTGGCAACTCTACACATAAAAAAAATTTTTACGATTTAAGTTGGTTTGTTTTTTTTTCTGAAGTGCGTTGGTAATTGTGGGTAAAAATATAAGTCTGATGGCTTATTATGAAAAAACTCTTTAAAAAAAATTCATCGCAAAATGTACATGTAACAATAACCATTTAAACAATATTCTTTGTAAATCCCAAAAGTGTTAAGAAAATAAAAAAGTTTAGTGGAAAAAATACCAGAACGATCCCAATAATTAATCACTCAGTGAAATTTATGAAAATTGCGTAAATTTTTGTTGTGTGAAAATATAAAAAAGTTGTTTCTTTCGATCAGCTTTATCTGATTTAGAGTGGCGCCAAGTAAACAAAAATATTGCCTCCCTCCAGTAAATATAAGAAATAATTTTGAAGAATTAACTATTTTTTAATAATTAAAAATTTAGTGTATATGCGTTTTAAAATACCTTCGTTTATTTTGAAAATTGAAGTTTCTTTTCTTTTTTAAACGTAAGTGTTGGCTGCTTCCTGTGCTTGTGCGATGAACGATGAACATGCAACAAAAGTGTGTTCGTTGAATAAACCCGATTAATAAAACAGTGTATGGTGATTGATTCTCTCGACATATGTTTGGACGTTGTCGCCCTTAGTGACATCGACAAGCAATACTCAATTTTGACCACAACGTCATCCGCAGCAGTACCTATAGTAACAACCACAACAAAAATTTTTTTAAAAATTGTGTCGCGTTTGTGCGGAAGGTAGTCCTTGTGGGGCGAATAATCACATATTTTAGTTCAATTTATCGCTTCTGTTCGTTGATTTCTGCAAATCAAACAATGGCTGTGGTCCGCAAAAAACAGGACGATAAATATTTAGAAGCTTTACGTGAGTTAATCACCCTAGGAGGTGGCAACCGTCAATGTTTCGATTGCGGGCAAAAAGGACCTACATATGTTAACATGACTATTGGATCCTTCGTTTGCACACGCTGTTCGGGTGTACTGTAAGTAATATATTTGATATTTCATAACCTTTTAAGTGAAAATCGAGATATATGGAAAATTACGTCCATCACTCTCTCATAAGGATTACTAATTGTTCAATCAAGTTATAGCCATATTGCTTAAAATTTTGCTAGGGCATGTAGAAAATAGGACACGTTGTACTAATACAAATCTTTTTCGAAAGCTATTTGGTGTATACACCTCGAGAATGTAACGCATTCCTATATTTTATTAGGAGAACAGAGAGCGTGCGTACACTTTCATATTCATTACGTAAGGTTAACCATCTATTAAATTGGCCCTTTCGTTTGTAGCAACCAGAAATAGCCATTAAGAATACAATTTACTCTTGATCAGCTTAAGGTAAATTAAAAGGATGTAAAAAAAATGTTCGTCAGCACGTAATTTATGTGCGTCGATTTCCAAAAATATACAATGTTTATGGTGGTCTAACTTTGGGAAATATTTTTACTAAGTTTTAGATCAATAACTGCAAGTTGTAGCGATTTGAAAGTGTGTTTATGTGCTGAAACATATGATGTTTAGGATGAATATTTTATAAATATCATCTTTCGATTACCAGTAACATTTCTTTGGTTTATGCACGCGCGATCGTAGGCATACTTCTACACAAAATCGTTTTGTCGATTAAGATTAATACTATTTTACCGTTATCTTAACTTTTGTGAAAGGCGGTGAAGAGTGGAATAGAAGGACGCAAAAACGGACAAAGCAGAAGCTTGCGATCAGCAAGGATAGCTTAGTGTGTGCAGTTTTTGGAGCCCACGCTGTGGATGTTGCAAAATAAAGCACAATAAAACGATATAAAGTGAACTTTCGCTGGCAGGTGCAAAAGTATTTGCAGAAAATATTGAAAGAAGAGAGACATATTTAAATCTAGACTATGTTAAGCCTGTTCCATGATAGTTGTACAATATGCCTTAAAGTAAATAACAGGCGAATAAAGAGAGATCTAGTGATTGTTCATTTATTGATTAAAATTGCTCTTTACGGCTTAGATAATAATTCTTATTGGCTACAAAGGACACCACAATAATAAGAAAAAGTTGAACATATGGCTTTGGTTGCTGGGATGTACAGACATAGCTTGTCTAACTGCTTTTTTTACAAGTTTTGAAATCTTTATAACTTTGATGTCTCATCAACATCAAATTTTCTTAAGCCAATGCACGCCAGTGCATTTGTAAAAGCAATTTTGTTCTTTAAAGAAAAATTCAGTACAAACTTCTTACTAAATAAAATTATTTATTCATATTGAAAATTTGATGCCAGCAAATCAGTAGCATTTACAAAATATACTTTAATTGGCAGGCTAACAGATCGGATGACATAAACATGCCGTTAGATATTAACAATAGTCCCATCAACGTAGCAAAAATTAAAGTCTGCCATAATGTCCGAATCGCTTGTATTTTTCGAATGAAAACTCCTCTAAATATATTGTGTATTTCCTTAAAAAGAACGGGATCAGAAACATCAGAGAATCCTTCACATCTTATTTTCGTTGTCAACCACGAATATATAAATTATAAATAAACCCTTTTAAGGACTCCATATATTTGTGGATAACGTGAGACTTTAAAGGAATATAGCTTCTCCTATCTTGTCTTTTCATGAGATATTTGAGAAGAAAGTAATAAGAGTACATATTCAATTATTTAAGCATTTAAATTTATTTGATTAAGCAACGTATGCATAATACTTCCAAATTAAAGTAAAGTAGAAATGAATTCTTAATGATCGTCACCAACTCTAACTTTTTTGCTAGTCCTATAAAATTGTCCCATTTTTATATTGTTTACCGAAATGTTTTGCGTGGGCACATTACAATACTCCCTACACTTACACTAATCCGACTACTTGCGACTATTAAGTAAAGAAAAAACTTTGTGGTGTTTTTTCTCCAACATAGAGACACATTTTTGCTGTATTTTAGATTAACTTTATTTAGAAGACAATATATGGCATTTTGATTGACAACCTTTCGGATAGGTTCTGGTGAAACCATTTTGCACCGCTTGCCAAACTTTTGGGAAGTCTGGACAAAAAACTGAACTAATAGATGATCATAGACCTTTTTAAAGTCAACTTTTTTATGATTAAAAGTATACTCCAGGTGGGGAACGATGTTGGCTGTAAGGTGGACGCATCGAAACCTCTCAGCTAAATTTTGTCGTTTTTTGTAGTGTATTGTATATGATCTGCTGTCAGTCGAGCTGGAATTTTATTTCTGCTACTACTTCTGCTGTCTTTTAACATATTATTATCGTTTACCTCTCATCTCCTATTATAAATATTTTTAAAAATGGCGCGACTTTCGTTCCCTTTCCCACATGGGAATTCGGTCCGTTAAATTTTTCCAGTGGTACCCAAAAATAAAACATCTTGAACTTAGTCTATTGTCAAAACACTCGTCAATATTTAGTTTGCCAGCGATACTATAGGAGAAATTGTACCGATCTCCCTCAATTTTAAGAACGCTCGACTTTATCGAGTACCCAGCTGATATGTTACGTATTTGATAATGAAACTTCCAAGGACGAAAGGAGTAAACCATATAATTGCTAGTAGTAGTGCCTAACAGACCATCTTCTTTCTTTCACAAGTTTGCAAAGTCTTGTTAGCTTTGTCGCAGTGATGCGAATTTTTCCCAATCTTGGCTTATTCGTATTGCAATTATTTGCAATTTTGACTGAATTGAGACATGCTAAGCATTTTTGTTTTTTCTATCTACCAATTATCACTTTTCACACGCCCTATTTTCCACTTGATCAAGTTAATGTTGCCAACGTTACGCAATTTTAAAACCATTTAACTGGCCAAGTTGCCACGAAGTTTTTCCTTTAGCTGTTAAAAATTACATAATATTAATGACGCACGCAATATTGAAGAAGATGTAAGATTTAATTGCCATATCTGTCTCGAAAATGTTATTGAACATTCACATTTAGCCTACATTGTCTTACGTTATGGTAGAATTTGTGAAGAGAAAGTCGTACGACGTCAGCTTACGGGGAAAATTCAAAAAATATTTATAAAATATTTATGATTACCTGATTAGCCGGACCGTCCTCTTATTTATAAAGAGTTTCCCCCCGATTAAAATAAAGTTTTAATTTACCCAACCTTGTGAAATTTCATTCCCTAACATCATGAATTAGTAGAGTGAATAACGCGTCCTAAGTGCTCGTAAAAACCAAGAGCCGTATTTCCATGTAATTAATTTTAATTTAATTTCTATAGTAATATTAAAGTAAGCAAACACTGTCCAGATCCTTTTTTGTTTAACGCTGGCCAGTTATCAATTTGGTCGGTTTTGAACTTTCACAATTTAAATCTATTTAGTTCCGGGAATTTATGCTGCATTGTTCCTCTTCTTTTGATAAAAACTTCCAATTTCTTGTTTTTAATTACTTGTAGACTATAAAGCATTTTTGTGAAACTACGGTGAAGACCGCAAAACAATGTTGTGAACAAAACGATTTCCGTTCGTAGACGCTACAAAGAGAAAGGTTTAAGGACTTGAAATTTGTTCTACACAAGTTCTTGCAACGGTACTCATAATTTTTAATGGATCTATGCGAGGGACAGACACACTTTTACTGATTCCGCAGTTGCCGGCGATCAAAAGTGATTATTTTTATGTTATCTGCAATCCGCCGAATGTAACGGAGCATGACAAGTAAAAAATAAATTCTCTGCTGCAACATATAGTTTTCCTTGATGAAATTTAGTTTTTGTTTATCGACATATTTTTGTAAATTTTGTTGTGTACGTTTTCGTGGACTTAACATGCCGCATACATGAGTAGAGAAATTAGCAACCTTGAATACTATCCATGACTTCTCTTTTACATGTTGCTCTATTTTTTTCTAGGAGAGCGGCCAACAAACTGCAAACAATTCACTAACAGAAGGCACCCACATGTAAACGGATTTGTACATAAAAATGTATATTTGAAAATACTCAGATAATGTTCGAGTTTACATACAGAGCAGAATACAGCATAGAGCCAAGCCGAGTATATATATATATATATATATATACACTTTGACAAAGGCAAACATACATATTTACACTGAATGTAGGAAAACAACTAAGATCGAAAAAGTAAAAAAAAAAAAGAAAAGACAACACATATAAATTGTGCAAAATGCTACTTCGAAGTTGTCGAACAGGTTTCTGGTGGTGATTTTCATGAATTGTTGTTTATAATGCTGACGTTTTTATGCCAATAATATTGCTGGTCGCATATTCGTTGGCAGTTCTATTATTTATTTTTAAATGAATTTTTGTTTCTTTATTTTCAATTTGTTTCGTTCTTCATTGCATGAAATCTGAATGAGTCATTCAGAACGGATGTAAGCTTATTAAAAACTCTCCATGAATTCCATTTTTCTAATTTGTCGGACTTTTGTAGATTTAACATGTTGTTGCAAAGAGATGCAATAATTATATAATAGTACCCTACTGCACTAGAGATGTTCAATTACCATTTCAGCAACCCACACTCCACTGTAATCTGGCAATATTTCAGTTTTCGCAATTTGCAATTCTTTTGTGATACATTTCATTCAAGTTACATCGAGGAAAGTATAAAGATAACGAACTGCAATGCTCCCTCCTATTAGGCAGAGGAAAAGGCAGTCAAGAGGTCGCAGTGTTTTTGAAATGGATGCCTGAACGTTTTCCACCACAACACTCAGGTTATTATGGTGAAGACAGCGAGTCCAATATCCTCGAAGGTCTTGGGCAAATGCGTAACGTAAGCCATATAATGTGGTTAACCTTCACGGTACCTTCGCGGCAATTGTTATGCAGAGATTTACATGTTTTTTCACTAAAGAGATGTCCCCTACTCGCGTAATACGGGGACTGTTAGGAAGAAGAGAGAAAAGAGAAGGAAATAGGGAAGTATTGGCCCATTGGATGTGTGTCCAATCTGTAAGTATTATGCTCCTTGGTTTATTTGTTAAAT